GAGCTTCGGCACCTCCCTCCCCTTTGGGCTGGAGTGCAAGGGGAGTGAGAGGAGTTGCCTGCCTTCCCCCACCTTTCACATCTGTGAAGGCTTTTTGTCCTTCCCACTTGGGGGCAGGGGGAGTGTCCACGGTAGTGAGGGAGTTTTTTTGGGTACACTTCTCACTTGTCATTGGCCCTCCACACCCCTGGTGGGGGAAGATTAGGTAGAGGGAATGCTGGTCCCTGCTGCTTTTTTTTTTTTTTTTTTTTTAAAGGTTGCTAAAAAAAAAATGTGTAATACAAATTTTTGGAAACTGATTTTTGGGAGCATTTTTCTTATTCTGCACATGGACCGTGTGCCGCAGGGGTGGGTCCAAGGGGTTTGAAGCATGGGAGGGGGCTCAGAGCTGCGGAGTAAGGGCTCCAGCTGGGAGTGTGAGGTCTGGGGTGAAGGAGAGGGTTCGGGGCTGGGGTGGGAGCGGTGAGGGTGTTGAGGTGTTTGGAATGCAGGTTGCTCCTGAAAGAGAGAAATACCACAGACCTCTCTCACCACAGCAACTTGAGGCCAGGTGAGAGAGGCGCCTTTCCATGGCTGCAGCAGCTCCAGCAGGGCTGGGTTGGAAAAGGAGCACCCATTCCCCAACTAAAGCAGGTCCGTGCAAGGGCGGGGTTGTGGTCAGGGCACCTTGCCCCTTGCTGTGGCCAGTCCAGGGCTTGGGGCGTTTAACAGGCAGCTGCATGGCTTAGAACTTAGGCAGTGACCTCTCTGAAAAGGTAGGGCAAGGAGCTAATGGAAAGGATTGTAGTCATTCACCTTCTTGATATTAATGAAGTTGTAGCTTGAAAAGGTCTGAATGTATTTCTGAACAAAGGTAAGGGGGGCCTCCTCAACTGTGTCTGCAGCTAAGCTCCAGATAAAAGTTCTCACTAAAGGAAGTAACCAGGAGTTAGGATTTGAAAAACCTGCACTATCACATCCTCGTGGGAAGGTTGAGTCCTATGCTTCAGCCAGTCCACTTTTGACATGCATCCTGATGCAGATCATCTACCTGGATTCAAGGTGTCCTGATCTTTTTTTGGAACCCTAGGATTCAGGAAAGCCCAAAGCACTGATATCCAGGCAGGTCTCAGCAATTCTTGTCAAAATGCCTTTTTGCTGTATAAGCTATTGAACAGCAGGCACCCTTAAGAGGCTTTCCCCTAAACTCTATTAAAAAGGCTCTCTGATCCTTAGACAAAGAAACACTGAAATAGGTTCTGGTAGTTGTCTTTGTAAGAGAAGGGCTTCTTTCACTCAGACTGTGCATCAGAGAAAAGCTTAACGATCACACTATTCATGCTGGTCAGTTTTTGGAGATGTTCTCTTAGAAGGATGTGTTATCAGAGTCTCTTACAGGAGCACATGCTGAAACAAGAATTTGAAAAGGACTACTTCTGGCCATCTGACTTTGCACAAAAGCACTTTGCACCTATTTGAAGCGGGAGCATCACAGAGCAAGAAAAATGCATCTTAGCTTCTGTGCTACATGAACTACTCCACCTTAGGAAAAGGCATTTAAAAAAAAAAAAATCAACTTTTCAGATAACTAGAAAACTGGACAAACTGGCTTATAGTTATTAATTTAATGCTCTTTCCACTGTGTTAGCAGGCAAGAGGTTGTTTCCATGACTGCTCCAGATGGCGACAGAAGGGAATCATGGAACAGTTAGACTGGAGGTGTAAATGTCCCACCCCCTCTATTAAATGTTGATGCAGTAATTATGCAGGGGGGTCATAATGACCCAAACATTTAAGCAAAATGTATTTAAAAAAGTTAAGAGGAAAAACCTACTTTGAACACAATTACACATCTCTAGACCCAACGTTTATGCACAGTTCAACTGAACATTTTAATTTTTTCTAATCCAAAAATTTCCAATATTAGGGAGTAAGGATTTTATCATGTTACACTAGGGCAGCCCCAACATTCCAATGACAGAGATATTAGAAAGAAGATAGCATATGATGCGTCTATTAGGACTACATTGTCTTAGGCCAGTAACCGGTTCAGTGTTTTGCAAAAGGCTACCTTCCTATTTTTTATTAAATAAGAAATATATGGAGATATAACTCCCATAGAACTGGAAGGGACCTTCAGAGGTCGAGTCCAGTCCCCTGCCCTCATGGCAGAACCAAGTACCATCCCTGACAATGTTTTTCAAAATTTAAAAACAATGAGTGATTAGATACATACTCAGTGCCATCCTCCTTACTTCTTAAAGAGTTCTTCCTCATCCTCCTCAAGGGTCTTGATCTCTTGTTCAGGAAGGGAAACTATGGGCTCAAATTGAGGATCAAGGCTAGAATCATCTGCGTTCTCAGCTGACGTGTCATGTTCCTCATGCATGTCCTGTGAAAAGAATGCTCAATCGCAATAATGCAGTTTTAAGAACGCTTCTACAGTGGCTACACCTGTATAACATGTTATTAAAGGTACTTAGAACATTCAAAGTCATTCCTAAGTCAGTGTTTCTCAAACTGTCGTCCACAGGCCACCTGGAAGGCAGTGATCTGTGGCTAGAGCTCAGACCCTCCCTACCCTTCCCCCCCTCTCCTCGCAGCAAGGAGCCCACACTGGCGCTGCACTC